AAAGAATTCAATAAAATATAAAGAAAGGCAAGACATTGCACTGCTATCAATTGAGCACTCAATAGAGTTGTCCTGTGTTGAACTGGATAGGCATATTGTAGTATGTGTTTATAGGCCTCCTAACATACAGAATTTAAATATATTTTGCTCAGTAATGGAAGATGTATTACAGAAAACGTGTTCTAGTAATAAGTATACAATAGTATGTGGCGATTTTAATGTTGATCTCTTAGAAAACAACTCTTATTGTACAAACTTATTAGGTCTTTTTAAATCTTTTGATCTGTCTAATATATTCCTTGAGCCTACCCGAGTAACATCCACCTCGGCAACTTGTATAGATAATATTTTTTGTAACTGTGATTAAATGAAATTGTAAACAGATTACCATCTGATCACAGTGGGCTAACAGTCAACTTTAATACTTTTAAAACTGTGGCAACTAAGGAAATTATATTCAGACAGATAACAAACAAAAAAATTGAGTCATTAAATAAAAATTTAAAACATAAATTATGCAGCCCATTACAAGACAATGAATGCCCGAGTGAGATCTATGCTAACTTATTATCCATCATAAAAATACAGTTCGACAAAATGTTCCCTTTAAAACGTAAAAATATCCAGTGTAAATTTTTATTCTGTGACTGGGCTACACCAGGCATTCGTATAAGTAGAGAAAAGTTATTTGAGCTATATGGCATGAAACCATTTAATGAAAGTGAGGCTTTTCGTAGGCATGTCTCCAAATATTCAAAAATATTTAAATTAGTTTGTAAGCATGCTAAATCACTCTATATTAGCAGTAAAATCCGGACCGCGGAAAATAAAATAAAAGCTACCTGGAGTATAATTAATAATGAAACAGGTAGAAACAAATCTAATAAGACAGAATTTAATTTAAAAACCGAAAAGGGATTTACTAGTACAAATTCATTAGTTGCCCAGGAATTCGAAAATTTCTTTAAAAATATTCCCATCAAAACTACGGAAACGTTGCAATCATCTCCAGCACTTGCGGTCGAGCTTCTCAGAAGTAACGTCAAAGAATGTCCTGCGGACTTTAGGTTTAAACATACAAACCCCCAGGAAGTAATAAAGGCGTTTAAAGATATCAAAGTAAAGTCAAGTGAAGATCTCTGGGGAATGTCTGTTAGAGTGTGCAGGTCTTTTATAGAGACTATAGCGCCTTACTTAACTTTAATTTTTAATAAAAGTGTAGATCAAGGGGTTTTCCCGGATTTAATGAAACATAGTAAAGTAGTTCCATTACTTAAATCAGGTGATAGCACAGAACGCAATAACTATAGGCCGGTCTCTATTTTGCCAGTGCTCAGTAAAGTGTTTGAAAAGTTGATACTTACTCAAATACTGCGTCACTTTAACGCGAATTCTATTTTCCATGACCAACAATACGGGTTCACTAAGGGACGTTGCACTACGGACGCAGGAGTATCGCTTATAAAACAAGTTTTCAAATCGTGGGAAAAAGCACAGGATGCCATCGGAATATTTTGCGATCTTTCGAAGGCTTTTGACTGTGTTGAGCACGAAACGCTATTACTGAAGCTGCAACACTACGGCATTCGGGGGGTATCCCTAAATTTATTAAAATCATACCTTCTAGAAAGACTTCTTACAGTACAAGTAAACAGAGTAAACTCCCAGGGTGCTAGCGTATCTATGGGCGTACCGCAGGGCTCAATATTGGGTCCATTCCTATTTTTGGTTTATGTCAATGACCTGCCCCATTTATTCCAAAGTGAACCGCATATGGTATTATTCGCTGATGACACATCCTTGATTTTTAAATTAAATAGACGATCAAATAACTATGACGAAGTGAATAATGCCTTAACGAAAGTTCATAATTGGTTCACAAAAAACAACTTAGTACTTAATGATAAAAAGACGAAATGTATTAGATTTATTTTGCCAAATGTTAAAAGTAACGTATGCGATGATATATTATTAAATGGTCAGAAACTGGAATTTGTAAAGGAGACCACATTCTTGGGGATTACTGTAGACGACAAGCTGCAATGGGGGCCCCACATTAGATCTCTAGCAGGGCGGTTGAGCTCGGCAGCTTATGCTGTCTGGAAGATCCGTCAGCTAACCGACGTAGGCACGGCACGACTAGTGTACTTTAGCTACTTTCACAGCATCATGTCGTATGGAATTCTGTTGTGGGGACAGGCATCCGACGTTGAGTCTATCTTTATCTTACAAAAGCGTGCAGTCAGAGCTATCTATAACTTAGGTCGTCGCGAATCTCTCAGAGAAAAGTTTAAGGAGATCAACATTATGACCGTACCATGTCAATATATTTATGAAAACATTATGTATGTTAGGAAAAACCTACAGCTATTTGTAAAAGTATCTGACAAGCATGACTATCTTACTAGACATAGAAATAGATTAAGTCAGCCTTTATTTAGATTAGCAAAAGTGCATAAGTCGTTCATGGGATTATGTGTTAAATGTTATAATAAAATCCCAACTGAAATACAAAATCTTAATGAAAGTAAATTTAAATTATGTATAAAGAAAGTATTATGTAGGAAAGCATACTACAAACTAAATGATTATATAGAAGATAAAAATGCTTGGAGGGTGGCTGGTTTGACTGCACAGGATAAAAATTGTTAAGGTTAAGAGGAATTTTGATCTCAATTATTAAATTATTCACCATGTTGTTGATTGTTGATAAACTGGATTTTTGTAAATGTGAGAGCCCTGTAACTTATTATAATTGAGTTAGACTTATAGACTTATAGTATATTGGTACTTGTGTCAGTTGGGAGTTGTCATGCTCACTCAGGAGTCTCATTGGCGGTGGCACGGGCACTGGACCGCTCGGTTCCCTATAATATGGTTGAGTTGGGCGGTGCTGGTGTACGTGTCATGTTCGTGAACGGACGCCGCCTATTGGGACTGGTCAACTCGAGACTGTCTAAAGTTGCTGTCCCTGAGGGTTATCTCTTTTTCGGATACTTTGGGTAAACACTAGTGTTACACTGTTCTCACATAATGGAGCTATCTAAATTATGTAACAATGTATTGTAAAAAGTGATTGAAAAAGAGTAACCATGGAGTTTCTTGCTCGTTCTTCTCCATAGGAATCTACACTTTGGAACGAGCAAATAGCTTCACTAGAGGACAGACGGACAGACTGACACATAAAGTTAAACCTTATGATATCTTTTTTGCTTGACGTTCAAAAGTGCCTTTTTTGGTCTATTTGAAATAAAGAATTTGATTTGATTTGATTTGATTTGAGACTCCATCTGCAGTTCGTATCACATATGGCTTGCCCATAGTTTCGGCAGGTACAGTAGGCCTTACACAATGTATGTTTATTTGCTTTGTCCAGTAACAATGTTCCAGTGCTACAGTAACTGGGAATACTCTCTGGCTACAATCCTTGATAAATAATTCCTGTCCATGTCCAAGTTGTCTACACTATTAAGTTTGGCTCCTCCTACGCCTTCATAAACCGAGTCCCGGCGTCTCTCTGAACGTAGGAGTTACGAAAATTTAATTGACGTGTAATTAAATACCAACTACCAAGAACTGTGTTTATTACTGCTATAGGTAGACGTCGTTCCAACTTGTGTAAAACAAAACATAAATGAATTTTATTGTGAAACATGATAGTACATCTGTGTTCATGCAATAACGAAGTTCCGAGAACTAACTGTAGGTGCGAGTACCGCGAGTAATGTGAGAATACAATATTTTCTCCAGACTTCTACATTCAGTAACACACGCTCACATTCGCATCGCATCGCAGACATTAACGTTGTATTGATGAGACTGAAACAGTGAACGACTAGTAGTTAGTGTACGCGTGTCACAGTTGGATTTCCTTGTCAAGCGTTGCAGTTAATGTTACGCTAACTGTGCCTAACTAAATAATATACGTTTGCGTAAATGTGTGAGTGAGGACATTATTTTGATTAATGTGTACATAAGTAACGTGTCATGTGACATTGGCGCAGTCCACGCGTTACATCGTACATCAGTAGATACGTAGTCCCGTGTGAATACATTGTATACATTTCCAAGGAGCATAATTCCTTCATTTGATTCACACCTCCGGGATTTTTCACAAGACCGACGTCCGCCCACATCCCGGCCGGGTACTGACGAGATTGATTCGCTCCGCAAAGCGCTCCGCCGTCTGAATACAAACCGATATTGATAGCTCTCAAACTGCGCCCTGAGCTACACCATTACTCTCGCTTAGCTCAGCCGCCGCCTGCTTTATGATCCAAATCTTTTGTCCGCCGTGTCTAATGTCTGTCACACTTTAAAATACACCTCAGCATAATCACAAACCATGAAAGAGTACGTTGTGTATACAACACTGAATGGATATAGGTAGAAACCTCCCTAAGTCTGTTGGATCTAAATTAACCAAGAGTCGGGCAGTGTAACAAATTCTTCGGTTACTGGTATCCCTTTGTTTTAGCTTATAAATAGACTCGTTAGCGCAATTTGTGACAGTCGTTAGCGACCGGCCGCCCTGTGATCTATATTCAGCTATTATTGGTAAAGTTACAAACGACGTCTTCTGATTGGTGTCGTCTCAGCAACTCTATAAATACAGTACAATATATGTATGTATATATTATTATTGTATACAATACGGCAGGCTCGTTGTAATCCGTCGCGCGCTAAATCCGCTGATTAATTTATCAATATGTTAGGGATTATCCGATCCGTGTGCAAATGGAATTCGTATTGAAGCTCTCAAATAGATTTGCCCACGCATTACACGTTATGTGGCGTTAACTGTACCGAGTGAGCGTGAACTGCAAGCGAAGGGTTTCCGAGGGAAGTTTCTGTTTTTGAACATGTCATAATTAGTAATCAGTTCTCGTCGAGTATCATGTATGTTACAAATTGTACTCCAATGCTATCATTAACAACCACTCAGAGGCCATTTCCCTACTCACTAGACTTCCTACTAACTAATATACAACCTGTTATTGTTAAGCCGGCAGTACACGGGCCGTATCTCCCCGCTCCCGCGGCGCCGCGCAGTCTGTGTGTCCATATCTCAGTGTGCACACTCTGCCAATGTTGCAATAACTATAATGTTCTAATGGATACCACACTATGGGGATCTCCACTGCTGACGTTGACTGTTGCTTTATCACAGGTATATTGTAGTATTGTAGAATGGAGAGCAAATGGTTCCCTACATTCATGGTGTACATCTATAGAATCAATAAGACAATATTATAACTAGTTACAGTATATCGCCTTCATACTACAAAACATAAAACGAAAACAACATTATAGAGATGAGGCTCGTTATATCTCGCTATAACTCATTGCCAACTCACTGGCTCCGAGTATTTGTTGTACCTAAGAGCGTTAGTAACAAATATAACGATTTATGTGTTTGTTCGCTCGCACCTCCTCTAGCTCCTCCAGCCCCTGCAAGTGCACCGCAGTTTATTACACGTTTAATGTTCTCAGAACTTGTTGATGGTGCGACCTACTGGGCGGGGAACATAATTTCATTAAAAACTGCATTAACTTACTGCAGACAGATTAGTTAGACATGGTTCTATGAATCTCGTACAATCTTGTAATATGTTTTGAAGGAACGTTTTATGTTTATTGTGTTGCTACGCCGCAGCGGCTTCAGCAGTTACACGAGTGAACCAAATGAGCGGGACGATATAATTGGTGCGATCACTCACAGCGTGACTCACGCCGAGCTCCGAGCTGAAGCGAACTAGTCGGTACCCCAGGGCCCGCCCGCCGCCCGGCTCCTGCCGCTTCTCTCGCTCGGCTTTAGAACACATATTTTCTATATCCCTACAAAGATTCTTATTTAGATAAAGTACCCGCTCTAACCTACAACCTGTGTAATACTTTCATCGTCGACTCGAAACTGTGAAAGATAGTGTACCTACAATATTGTATCGGCGATACTCTTACATATAATAAATGTACACTATTATACATATATACACTTACAAAAAGTATAAACATGTGATAGGTTAAAAGCAACACGAGGCGTTAGCTGTGAATTGACTCGGCCACTGGCTATACTTAAATAGTAGAAATAATAAATCAAGTTTGTATTGGCGAGATGACAAAAGGTTGTCAGAAAATCGTAAACCATACATTATGAGATCACAAAGGAGAGGAAATGGTTTTCCCTTGGTGTGGCGGCTCCACGCTCCACGCTCCGTGGGCGGCGGAAGTGTGGACAGTGACAGATGTGGGCCGCGTCACGCCGCCTCACTCGCCGGCTTACTGCCGCCCCCCCGCCCCGTCCCGCGCCACGCGTCGTCGTGACAGCCAACTAGCCGGTCTTTTTATCACAACCCAGCAGGTACCTCCGGTCGCAGGCTTTAAACACAACTGTACATATAAATAGTTACACATTGAACATGTATGTACGCTGAACAGTGTACGCGTACCTATTTAAGTATTGCGAAGTACAAACAAAGAAGAAATGGTCACGTGTAATGAATTTCTGAACAATTATCTTCTACTAAGGATCTTGAAGGCTGCACAAGTCTTAGCATTATGTGTACACATTACAGGCATCACAATGTAAACAATGATTCATTGAAACAGCTGCATGAAACCTGCGCCAACCATGAGCAAAACATTAGCAAATTTTCGGAATCAGCGTGTTTACGTTTACCAGTCGCGCTGTGTTGGCAGTGTTCCGGTAATGTCTCCGTGTGTGCGGCTTTTGCCGGGACTATAGCACTCTCCTAACGTTACAACGCGTCGTTTAGCACAGTCGCCGATATCGAGCCGATACCGCCGCGGGGGAACTGTTCACATGCATTACTGTGTTTGTACACGTTGACGACTGCCTTTAGGGTATACATTATAAACATAATGAAGCAAAAACATATTAAATATTTGTACATACAGGACTTGCGGTCCCTAACGACATAGTACAATATTTTGGTCACACGAACTTTGTACAAAACACAAAAGAAGTTGTTGACGCATGTTGAGATTTCAAACATAAAACTGGCACACACACGCCGACATTATAAGTTGTAACAGATGGGACCCTCGACACAGGTACGGCGGAGTCGAGTTCCGTGCCAGGTAGACGAGAGCCAGGGGATTACCTCGCTCAGCCAGCTGTGCAGCTGAATGTATAGCACAGGTAATTAGTTCCGTACTTCAAACGGCAAAAGGGTCCTCTTTCATCAGCCGGGGCTATTACGAAATAAAGCGAGCGAAACAAGGACTTCCCCCGCCTGCTCATCACTCCACGTACTCTGAGATACAATGAGATCAAAGCGTAGTATCGCGACGGCCGGGCCACACACTCGCTCCCTGTAGTGGACACTGCTAGCTGCGTTGTCCGGCGCACAGACTGCACACACTAGTGGCTGGCCCTTCCAGTCTCTCGCACAAGTGCTCAGCTTCACCATAATACGATCCGTTGTTGACATACATTAGCGGCCGCCTGCTACTGTGTACACATGCCAGCTCGTTTTTGTAATCAGCAAACATCAGAAACCTCTCTAATGAGGCAATTTATATTTGACGATAAAATTAAACACAGCGCTTAAAAAATTAGAGCACGCGCCGTTTATTACGCTTATTATTCACTTTAATGCTTAAAACGACTCTTAAATAATTTATAAGCCCTATTAGAGTACTCTAAAGACCCCTTCAGGACACTCTTTAATTCGGAGCTTTCTTTCAGGCATCCGAGACCATGAACCCTTTGTTGTGGTCGGGTACTGAGCTACAGTTACAACTGGAGGCTGGATGACGCTTTTTGTGCGTGTCGTGGTAGAAGTGGGCACGACGGATAACAAGCTAATAAATAGCCGGGGCATGAGTTGGCAGCCTATTTCTCAGCACTCCGTGTAATTACTCCGCCACTGTAGCCCTACATCTGGCTAATGACACGCACTGACCTATAACGCAGTGTGTCATGTCGTCTCACTATACCAACACATATGTACGCAATGTGTTCGGCTCTAGTTCCGTAGTGTAGAGAGCCTAGTGTTTGCGTCATTTAACTACACGTCTTGTATAAACACAAGCTCCTGTATCTCCCACACCGCGGTACCGTGGCTCACAGGCGGTACAAGCAACACGTTTAGCGCTGACGTAGCTGATTGCATCGAGTGCAGTGAGGCAAACACTCGCCTGGTGCCTGATCGAGAGTTAATTAGGGACGTGACGGCCGCGCGGCAGACGTGACTTGCTGGAGTCGACGTCATCAATCACCGCCTCGAACCTGCGACGTGTTAATTGAAACAGAGATATCCCGGGGGAGGGGGAGGGATGTACGCTACTCTCTGTAGACAATGGCGAAGTTATCATATCTCTGTGGGAAACTAAACAACTAAGTGATATAATTAAATTAATAGCATAGTTATACATAATTGTAAAAGTTATACAAACTTTTGTTTATGATATGGGTTCACGACAGCAGGCGAGTACATAGCCATAGGTCCTCCTACTCCAAACTAACTAATTTATCTATTTTCAATTTGATCATGTTACTTGTTCAGGTCAAAATTTAAAATTATATTTAATTATTATAGTTATTTATTTATTTAAAACATTAAATATTGTGTGGAACATAAGTAGGTAGGTACATTAAAAAGGTAATCTTACAATTGTCACATGCAAAAACAATATCCACTAATGTTAATCAACATAAATATAATCTTTTTGCATTAAACGATTTTATTAAACAAGGTTACCCAACATAACTACCAAAGCTAGAGCAATAATGTTGACATGGAACAACGTCAGTAATACATAGAGCAGCGAGTACTACACCGTCTAGTCCCGTACATACATAATTGTATATGAATGATGAATACATTTCGCAAACGTCGTCGCTGCGAGCACTCAGCCCTCATCGGCTTATTCATCGGCAGTTGTTCCCAACTACTTACGTCCATTTATTCTTGTTTAGCCCCCCCCCCCCCCCCATTCCCTTGGTATGTGTACTGAGCTACAATGTCGCCTCGTTTATTTGCCGTTTCATATCTCCCACAATATTTTCTTAGTTATGAAAGCAATTTTCTCAAATGATGTACGAGCAGCGGCCGCGTGTGGACCGCGTCGTGTGTACTGGCGGCGAGAGGCTCACTGCTCGCATTTGATTTGTGAAGACGGCCGTTTATATGGCGTCGGCGGCGCACAAAATACAGCTTGTTTATTTTGTCCACCCTGTTTTATGTTTCTTTTCTTTTCCTCTACGATTTCCGACATAATACAATATTTATTTATTCTGCAGACAATCTAGCCGATACACTGTTGTGATGTCGGAGCATCCGACAAATAATGCGTATTTACTACGAGTTCAGTGATCAACGTGTCGTGTTTGTGCACGGCATGCTGCGGTGCGCCACCCGCCAGCTAGTCCCTCGCTATTGTAGCGAGTACACAAGCCCTCCTCCTCTTCCCTAGTGAATGTGAAAATATTATTTTAAAAGATCCCTCGGTGGAAATAAATCGGCTTATACTGTTTGTTACTGCTTACTTGAATTAATTAACAGACTTTCCCTATGTTTTTGTATGTACTTATAAAGTAAAAGCTGAGTCTAATTAAAATTCTCTTGTAATAAGCCGTCGTCGCCCTGACGTCATCGATATAAAACCTGCCCACTGAAATAACCTGAATTTGTGTTAACCTAGTTATGGAGGAATCGATATCGAATGAAGGAATATTAATATAAGCTCTTTTCACGCGAAAACGACTCCTGTTCGCAGCTTCTCCGCGCTGTGGTCTGTGTCTACACACCTAGATGTGTCTCCGTGTGTATTGTGTGTAGATATGTACACTCTGTCGCGCTTCCAATACTTGTCAGTGTTGCGTTAAATCGGCTTTGAACTATCAAGGACGGGCAAAAATGTTCACATATATTATATCATCTCAAGTTGACGATATGATTTCAAATAACTGCCTACACAATTACTTGACTAGTCGGATATTTGTCTGATTGTAAAGGTCTCCGGTGCTTCCAATTCAATGCGATATTTTTAGATCGTATAATATTACTTACGTCTATGTACTCCGTTCCAGAAGGTTAGGGCGAGCAGTGACTTGTACCCACATAAATTTCAAATTATGTATATTGCAAGCCTGCCCTTTGTAAGGTAAGCCTGTGGATCCGAACCTACACTGTGTAGAGTAAATATGTATAATAATGTAGGTACAGTACATCACACGCTCTGTCCCCTGGGTGCTGATTGTCCCAGTAAGTGGCACCCTCCCCCCCCCCCCCAGTGCCGGGAGCCCGCACCGAGGGTACAACTTGAAGTTAGTTTTCTTAACCGCTCTCCGCAGTCCCCACGGAGTCCAGGCCCAGGTGTAGCCCGCGAGCGCTTGTCGATCGGAAAGGTAAACTGAGAGGGTCCGAGTTATTAATGCAAGCGATCTGGTTTGCGGTCGCTGAATATTTGACGAACCTCTTCCCAAGGGTGAGATAAAACCTGCATAACTGGGGCGTTAAGAACTAACGCAGCGGTAGACTTTACTGAACAAATTTTAGCTCGCATTTTGTTGAGTTAATATCTTAACGGTTTTTCCCTGCAGTGTAGTATTTTAAGCAATTACAGCAGTCTCCTTTAGCTTGGGCGGTAGACGAGCTAATTACGTAGGGAGCAGATCTAACTTGTGGGATAAACATCACCTCTATAGAGTGTAGAGATGGCTGGCTTATACTTAACTCAATGACATTAATTACTTTGAAACGAATTTTATGATAAAACAATAACCGTCGCTCCTGCTATGGAATGTTTAAAGTATCGTTTGTGACATGCCGTGGATCTCTTTGTTCGAAATGGGTCATACATTCGGACGTACGGTCGGGCGCTGCCGAGGCGGTACCTGTCGAAACTATTCGGCCGGATGCCTTTCACGACATGAGACTACGACCGTTGTACCGACTATAAAAATATATATGTATACAGTATTGGAAACAAAAGGAATCGTTTCTCAGGATATTTGTGTGTCATGTGGAGTAAAATGTGTTCTGATACAACGACTCCATATTTATGTTTATACTTGTACGTGTGTATGTATGATAATATGTACGGGCTCGGTATTTATAGTCTCGCTGGGCAGTCGCAGATCACTAATTAAGTCAGCACTATACCTTGTTGGTGATTAGCAGCTCCCCTCACTACGTGGTTCCACATTTCCATTCCGACACCGTCCGCATGTACCTACTAATTTGTGTATGTGTTAACATTAGTTCAGCGGTCAGACACACACACATATACACTATGCTGGATACTACGCGTAGATTTTATAATTTAGTAGCTGACATTATTATTGATTTTGTATGCAATGGAAGAGGTGCTTATCTCGCTCTCTCTCTCTTT